AAGACTTAATTACACATTTTTGGACCATCTCATCTGACAGGCACTATTTTACCTTACTTTACAGAGTGTTAACATCCCCAGTGTTTAACAGTACTCTCTTTATTGTTCAACCAGCACTGGTATAAACATGGGCATTTTCGTTCTTTTCTATCATGTGTATCAACAGGTGCTTGTACACACACATGTTCACGTACACTTGCACCCCACACTCTCATTTGGCCTCCCCTCCCCCTCTCTGTCCAATGCGTTGGCGTGTGCAGCAGTAGTTGCTTGCGCACAACCACGTCCACGCCGCCGACTCTCGTGTGCCGCGTCGTCCATCCTTTTGGCCCCGCCCCCCTCCCGATGCGTTCTACGTGGCACTTCGTGCCGTCTTTGAGCCCCGCCCCCTCCCTCCCGATACGTTCCATTCATTGGCTAGCACATTCTGATGAGCTCCCCCCCCTCTCCTCCCCCTCAACTTGCTTTTAAGGGATTACATCTTGAATCATTGCCTCACTTGATGCAGCAAATCGTGCTGTGACGGTCCCACCTGATGACGGAGACTTGTGTTGCCTCCGAAACGTCGTGATTTTTATTTTATTTTACTTTTATTAATTTTAATGTTTTACCTACGTGACTTTACCGAAAAAACCTAAGAATATGAATCCTTGCAGTCACGAAAGCTTCAAATCTAGAAAGAAAAGCATGCTTTGGATTACTATCACTGTCGTATATCGACCACTGTCCTCACCGCTGTCAAATTTCTTTTCCGAGAATTCCAGGCTGCTCTACTGTGTGTTACTTGGCTCTCGCTACATCATCTGTGGTGACCTGAACTGTACTGGACCAACCAGTTCTTGTTGTAAAATTAAGCGATCTCGCTAACATTATCGATGGTCACAGTTTAACCCAGAGCATTAGTGGCACAATATGTCACTCGGAAACTATACACAATTACATCTTCACATCCGCCGATGGCGTAACTAAAACTGACCTACGTTGTTATCGAATATGTGGGTATTTGAGATCACAGTCTCATGACGTGCAAAGTGGTCTTACCAATTATTCGCCCACCCATCACAATGATGTCATACCAAGACTGGACATGATTGAACCACGATGCTTTTCTTCAGAGGATCTGCATCGATGGTCGATTCATTTGCAGCTCAATTTGAAAATTACATCACTGCTCTTCTTGATGGACTCGTGCCCATTCGAACAAGCCCAAAAAAAATGGTGGAAGTTGCACAGTAACTGGTTGTCACTGGAGGCGCTATATGTGAAGCAGATGCAGAAGAGGCTGGAGCATCTTTGGAAGAAAACTGGTTTCGAGAGTATCCATTTCGCTTACAGAGCCACCTGAAGATCTGTCAATGCAATGCACATCAATGAGTTGGCTTGCGATCCCCATTTTCTGTCACGTGTCGTGAAGGGTATGCTGCACTCCAACCACCCATCAACTAGTCAGCCAGGTCTGTGCACAGTACTTGCAACGTTCTTCGGCAATAAAAAAAAAGTGACGATCAAGACGGCATTTTCTAAGGCGATACATTTTCCTGGTCTTTTATCTGAGTTTGATCAACCTGGAACCAATGCAAAACTCGAGACCCTGGCACCAATGTCGGTGGCAGAGATGTCGTTTATTGCACAGCTGCCAAATAACGCATCGCCGTTCGACTACATTCACACGACAGTTCTAAAATTATGCTCGGACATGCTTGTACTGCTTATTGTCCACCCGGCTGTTTCCCAGACCAGTTAAATATGGCGCAGGAAATACCAGTCCTGAAAAAAGCCATACATTACCCCACACATCATCGCCCGATTTCAAACCTGTGTATGATTTCAAAGATCATAGAGTGCCTTTGTCTGAAGCGGTTACTTCCCCATGTCGCTGCATCAGGCAGATTCAACCCATTGCATTCCACATACCAGAAGTTCTACAGCACTGAGACGGTTCTTTGAAAGGTCACTGATGACCTCTACAAGATCATGGATGCCCAATGCGCTGCAGCGTTGGTTGGCCGTGATCTCTTAGTTAGTCATGGGTCAGCGTTCACGTGTAAACACTCATTAAATGGCTGAAACCACCTTACAATATAGAGAACCACAAAGCATGGACAATTATTGATGGTTGTTTGTAGCTCCTTCGCACCACTGAGTCATTCTTTGTGAAAGTGAGCCAATATTGTGCGGTGCGTTGCAAGACTAAATTATTATATTCGCCATTGTTTTGGACAGATTAAGCAAAATTACTTTTTGTTTTATTCCTACGAGTTCCCCAGACATTTGTTTTAAATAAACAACAACACCGCTATCACTGGCTGTGCACTGTTCCACTGGTCACCATTGGTTAACCGTGTGTCATGGCTTCAGTGCAGAAACTAAAACAGCAATGATAACGATCCACTGCTTAGTGCCAGTCATTGATGCTTACAGCTCTAATGACGAAGAGGTGATGTGTTGAGGATTCGCAGAGAGTGTCAATGCGAAAAGATACATACTACGAGCACACGTCCACAGGTTGTGATGTCAAGAAGGAATTTGTCTGTCAAGAAGGAGCCTGTCTGGAAAACGCATCAGCCAACCGTCAGTAGCTGAAACAAATGCTTAATGACTCGCCCATAAGTGGACTTTCCCCTTTTCACCACACACCCGAGACACATTTTCAATCAACCTAGATCTAATGAAAAAAACTGCGCAGTCTACCGTGATGAAGTTCAACACAATTACACCAGATCTTGGGACAAATCAATTGCTGCCAGCCAAACACATGGCAATTTCCATACGGTCAAACCTGGACAGGTGGCAACCCTACCTATAGGTACGTATGGCCATGCAGCTGGGGTCAGGACTTGTACCGGAACTGAAACGACTACATGACCTGTAACGGGGATATGATCTAAGAGATGTGGCGTTAGTCCGCCTGGTTACAATTCGGTGTATTTTCCATGAGGATTGCCCCAGAGCACAACGTTTCATGACCGTGACCATCGCAGACTGGAATATTGTGTGGATCATCAGCAGATTTTGAAAAACCACCCAGACGTCTTCACAACCCGGGTTCACCAAATTATTATTATAAACTGAGAACTGCTGATGAGACACGGAATGTTGAATCCAATCCATAGATTGTTTGTATTAAACCAATGCTGCTAAAAAAAACTTGACTCCTCGCAGGCTGTGGTTGGTGGGATGTGTAAAAAAATGTGTTATGTGGAGAGACGGATATGGGAATGAGGCGACATGTCTGCGTATTTATTTTGTTACCAAGAATAGAGGATTATTCAAAATAAAGGTATTTTATTAGAGAGATCGTATAAATATAAATGTATCATTAAATGTAGAATTATAATGGCTCTGCACAATGATCGGCAACGTTGCCCATCCCCACCTTGACTGCTGGACTCCTTTGTCTGACGCACTGTACTCGCGCAGGCCTGAGTAATGTGACCCGAACGTGAACTCAACTCTCACATCAGATCAGTGCGTTAAAACCCACCCCCGCGTGAACAATTTAACAAACAAACAAAGTAAAGCTGAAGGTGCTCCGCCCTGCTACCGCTTGCTCGCGCCAGCGGTGGCGGCCGGTGGAGGCCCTCTCCCCTCGAGCAACCTCTCGAGAGACCCTGGAGAGGGTGGACTACTCCTCCGCGCTGACCTTGACGTCCTGGGAGAATTTAGAGTTGCTCACACTTTGCCCCACCACAACGGGCGACCGACTAACTGTGGTAAACCCATTGATACGTCTGGGTTGAGTAGAGTCTGGGGGTGGGTGTGATTTATGAAACGTAACCACTGCTGCAACGGGAGATCGAACGAGTTTGGCCTCTGGATTTACAATCGAATAGAAGGAAAATATCACGGTAAATAAAGGAACGCACCAAAGCTGCCTTAACGTCGCACTGGCATGTATGGACGGCATTTAGGCACGAGTGGAGGAAGGTGCCAATGACTCGGCTTCTTTCCACATGCAGATGCGATACGCAACAGGGCTGGCCCAACAGCCACAGTGACCACGCAGACAATTCCCCCTTCTCATATCCGTCTCTCCACACACAAAAAAACAAAAGTACATTTTATACACATTCCCGTCAGCCATAGGGTCTTCTGGCAGTGCAGTAGTATCGGTTTAATACTGTGCAACACAACTTTGAAAAGGTTTTGACATTAGTTGTCTCTTCGGCAGTCAAGCATGCTTAAACCAATGCCTGAAATAGATAGTGGCTGGTGGGATGTGATGTGTGAAGGGAGCGTAGGATTGTATGCTCATTTATTGTGTTATTTTAATTCACAACGACGATCATCGGTTGTTATCATGTACACAAAGAGTACAGTTCTCAACAATTACAGAAACATCTACTCCATTTTGAACCGTACGTACAGTAATGTGTTTACTTTAATAAGCCATTAGCATCGCTGTTAAACTTCCCAACGGAAACTCATAATTACTGCGGAGATCATAGATGTAGCAAGCCCGAGGTTTACACAGCCTCTGCTTGGGCATTATTCGCTGTCAAGAACTCAAACCACTGAAAATGAATACCGTAACAAATGCGCAGACAATCCCTACGCCTCCTTCCCGTCTCTCCACAAATAAGTACTTGTTTTTACACATCCCATTCAGCCACACAGCCGTCTGGAAGTGAACTTTTTCAGCAGCATTGGTTTAAGACTGCAAGAAAGCTCCGACGTCTGTTCAGGTACACCACAGCGCTCACGTCTCACAAGTGAAAAAAAAGTGTTCCGCTCTTTGTTTGGTGGCAAGCGAATAACGCTGCCAATTGACGGTATTTCTGTGTGTGTGTGACCTCTGGGCCACGAAACAGACGGACATACACCCAAGTTGACTTAGTCTTTAAAAGAGACACATATTTACGCTCTCGCTCGCTCGCACACACACACACGCGCATGCACACGCACTCAGCAGTAAATGTCACTAAGTCAAATTCCCCCCTTTTCTCTCACCTCCACCCCAGCGCCCTTCCCCCACGCTCACATATAACCGGCTCCTCTGTCGCTCCCAATCCTCCCTCCCCAGCACACAGTGGCAGTCAGTTAATACGTCCTCCTTTTTTGCATTGAACTGGATTTGTAATTTTTGTATGGAACGCGTGTACTATATGCATATATAATTATAGACTACAGTATATGTCAATACTGTAAAGTATATTTTTTCAAGACTACAGTTCACATAAAGACTTAAATATGATGTCGTGACAAATAATACGTGTTTCTTTGTGTAAGTTTTTTTTTATTTGGTAAAATAAACGAACTTGCTTTTTCAGTATTTTTTTGGGGTAAAAACTGGAAGATTTAAATTCAGACACGGATCTTTTCTTGAAGCCCGAGAGAAGACGAGGAGGGAGAAGAAGAGAGAGCAGCGCGCTGGGCCGAGATGGGGGCTCGCGGAGAGAGGGCCCTCCTGGCTCTGCTGGTGATGGTGTGCGTGGTCCCGTCGGCGCCTGTGCTGACAGGTAGGAGGAGGATGCATGCGTGCATTACCACGCTCCACCAGCTCAGCACCACTCCACCCGCTCTCCTCGCTCGCTCGCTCGTGGCCACAATTGGGGGAACGCACTCTTTGACATTTTCACTTTTGTTTTTACTTTATCATTATTTTCTCTATTTGACTCCGGCCGATGGGACACTGAATGTAGAAAACCGGTGAAGGGTTTTGCTTGCGTTTAACCGATGCGGCTAAAATTATTCACTCCCAAATGGCCTTGTGACTAATGTGATAGGTAAAAATATATACTTTTTATATGTTTTAATGTGGGTATAATTCTTCACACTGACGTTAATGATTATTTTGTCATTTGTCTCAAGTGAGTTTGAATATTGCCCAATTAATTATTTTGGAATTAAATAATGGGGAAAAATCTTGAAAAGCTATCTTAGTCACTCATACAAGTCGTGCACTTGAGGATTTTTTATACAATTACAGGAACACATGCCCATGTACAGTACCTGCACGGGATCTGTACTAGGGTTGCTATCTGGTCGGGTTTTACGCAGACAGATGACAGCCAGTGATGTAAATTCCACATTACTGCGATGGAGGTAAGTATTTCCCGGACTGTCGGGAATTTACCAGGACAGTCCAGGAATCGGCATCTGTGTTTGGGTGGCAAATATTGCATTTCACCGAGATCTGATACCGTTATTGTGGTGAACTTTATGACAGCAGACTGCACAGTTATGCTTAGAGATCTAGGCTGATTGAGACCTATGGCTGGGTTTGGTCTAGACTGGAAAAGGTGGCGATTCTCACCTGTACTTTGCATATACTTGAGGACGCGCAACGTAAACATCAATTGAACACCTCTCAAAGCTACCACGTTACTGAAATAGGAAGGGGCTTAGTTAGATTTATTTATGAAAAGTTAAACCAGGTAAATTTTTCCACCCTTATGGAAAACCAGCTCAGGGTGATGGCTGGTACCAGCCCTGGCTATAAGATTGCATCAACCATCTGATTATAAATCAGACCAGGTGGCTCGGCAATAGAATGAGCAGCTTTGCATGAGGAAGGTTGCAAAGCTGCTGAGGTTGACTCAGCCCATCATCCATACGGGGTTGATAAAAGGAGTACCACTATGAGGAAGTTAGCAGTGGCTGTGCTATGAATAGACAACATCACAACCAGCATTTCTGAATTTCACACATTTACTGGGAGTAACTTTGTCTTCGTTTTCAACTGGAAGCCTTACCAAATGCGGTTCATGGTCGTACTCTGCGCACTCGTATTCACCGTATATCTACCACAATTCGAAAGCATGGTGTCTTTAATACTGCGGGTGTATTCACCATACAAATATAATTAGCTGTCAGCGTCCCAGTGGATGTTAAAGATCCCGTGGCGTTACTCGCGAGAGTGTGTCATCATGTGTCGGCGTCGTGGTCCAAATTAGCAAAATGTAACATATGACCCTCGAATTGCTCGATTCGAATCTGCACAACAATCAATAATCGCCTCCTTTGAAAAGAGACTCAGTGAAGCTTTCTTGGGTGAACAAGTGTAATGATAATAATTATAATTTATATATTGCCACAACCCTCACATTTAAGGGGGGGGGGGGCGAACACAATTCATAATCAGTTACACCACTCCAATTGTTAGAGCGCCAGGATTATTCAGAAGCCACACATGTGCACACCCATCACAGTGCATATGCTGTGCACAGCAGGGGGCAGTGCCGCAAAATCCATTGCTGTAGTGTACAACGCTTCCACATCTGTGCTCCCCGCCTTCTCCAATCCGCTCTGACCAATTTGGTGAAGTACGGTCAATTGACCCCCACGATCTAGAAGGCGTGGGGAGGCCCTCATCCCGCCGTGGATTTGACTGCGCGTACAGCACCGCGCGTTTGGAACGTACCGTTAATTATCCTCTGCCCAACGTACGTTGGGTGTAATTAATGTTGTAACGTCCTGTTCTCATGACTTTTTGACGGCTCACGTAGCGTGCGTGCGTCCACATCCCTCTTCCCCCGTGAGCTCCGCTACCCTCCTCACTCCCGGAGAATCGCCCCCCCCCCCCCCCCCGGGTTCCGCCCGCCCCCCTCTCCCCCGCCCGCTCTGATTCTCCGTCTCCCCTCCCTCGCTGGGGTTTCTCGCACGTTAATGGCAGCGCCTGGAAACTGGAAGAAGCAGCCAATGATGCAAAATCGAGACATTCCATTGCCTTAGTTCCACATTAACGACACCAGGGGCAAGAGACCAGAGACCTCTTCGGCAGTCGTGACTCAGACCCTATTGAGGTGGATGGAAACACTCAAGTGCACAGTTAACAACGCTTTTATGAGGTTACGTTGAAAAAAATAGTCAAAAGTGTGCGTTATTTCTTACTCAAAAGAACATTGAGGCGTTGGTGCTCATCTCCCGTTTACAGCTTCTCCAAGCCGATGGTGAAAATTCCACATTTCTATGGTGTGGGTGAGTCTAATCATAGGGCAATCACCGTTGACTTCCCCACAAAGAGATCATTTGTTTTACAACCACAGAGGGATGATGGGCTGAGTCAGCCTACCCCCCCCCCACACCAGGATTTGAACTCACGACCTTCCGATTGTGAGCTGCTCGCTCTCCCTCTGAGCCGCCGTTACAACATTGACTTCAATATAGCTGCGTGAAACAATAATTGGCACGGTTTACAAGTGTGATCTTACAGGGAAGTGCTGTCGAGTTCAAATGACAAATCGTTCGTGTGCCTTCACTCGACGGATTGTCCCGCCGGATAGACACCACAAGCATCAACGGTGGTTGGCCTATGGAGAGACCGGCCCCATCACTGGAATGTGGACATGTTTTCAACAGCGTCTCTCGGGGGCTTCTGTTAGGAGATGAGTCAGCCTCTCACAAATACACTGGGAGAATTTGCTTTCGAATCTATCCCCTACTCGAAGCAATGCCTCTCGCATGACTGGTGTGTATCTGCTTCTCCCGCAGCATGAACAGCTGCTCCCCATGGAGAGCAGAGTTTAATTACCATAGCAATTTGGGGAGTAACTCCAATGGATCTGTTTCTATATGTCCGTTTTCCATTGCGTGACTATGTAAGACTAGAATTTTGAATTATTTTTAGGGCTCCAAGGTATATAGTGCAGTCTCCACATATTCTCCACTCTATCTTTCTGGCCTCTACATATATGTGCTATGATGAAAGGCCATTGCTAAAACAAATTACCTGTTACATTTTTTTAAGCCCCAGCAGCAGCCTCACCAAGTAATTCGACTTTGCACTCGCGTCTCCCGTGGTGCCATTTCAGCGTCATCGCTCCAGGAGCAGAGGAAAATCATCTCGTGCCTCAATCTAACATTGAGTAAACCGCGCCAATTTTTATAATTCAAATATTTCACCTGGAAAATCCGTTGAGATGGGACATCTCGTTTGCAAGGGCGTCCAGGTGTGGATTGACTCGTACACAACAAGCACGTAATGAATGCCTATAAACCTATAACGTACACAGTACGCGTTTATACGGTGAACATCACGCATAGTCAAGTGCATAACTAACAACACGTGTGGCAGTCGAGTGGAGCACATCAACGATTTGTGTAGACTACACTCCAGCTGTAACAGTTGCAGATGTTGTGGGAGTGAGTTTAATTAAGGAAGCAGCTTCGTGTCTGAGCGGGAGTGTGCCTGTGCAGGTTTTTTTTACTCTCGGAACGGTCACAAGGCCATGACCCCTGGGAGGTTTTCATTCGAGGGGCTTTGCAATCGGCCAATAATAAAGCGTAACGCATCTGTTTTTGTGAGCTCATAAAACGGCTCTCGCGTTGAACAATCAGGAAAAGCTATAAATTTCCATCAGAGCTTTATTCCTCTGCAGTGATTTTAGCAGAATAATTTGTGTTGTGTGTGTGTGCACATACCCAAATTACGTATGTCTTGTGTGCTTTCTTCATTGTTATATTATGAATACATCATCAATGACATTACAATAATTATTTTGCTATCGTATAGTCCACATTTGTTAAGTCCGTATTAATCAGGACTGGCCAGATGGCTCAGCAGTAGAGCGAGCGACTTAAAATCCTGGTTTATGGCTGACTCAGCCAATCATCCCTGCGGCTCATTAAATATGTACCACTTTCTGGAGAAATCAACAGTAGTCCTATGGTTGGACTAATTACTGTCATATGAATGGGGAATTTCTACCACTGGCTCAGGACTGCAAACGTGCAATAAGCACCGACGTATCAATACTCATTTGAGCAGGACATCACTCTAACTTTTTTTAGCCCATGTTAAAACAATTATTGTCTTTAGCCTTGTTCAGTTGGGAGGCTGTACACTTTTCCATCACAAGCGGCATGTACGAACGCTCACTTGCGCAGAAAAGTTATTGTACCTGTTTTAATCGGAAATAGTTTTGTCTTTGTGATGTCTTTTTTATATATATAAGGTGCCATTTTAAAAGCGGTTCTTTGCTTTATTTGAAATACACACACTGCGGACACTACCTTGCAAACAGCATCGTCACAACTAATAATATTTCGTGAATGAAAACTGCCATGGTCAGGACTCTCAAACCACTGGGCCAGATTATCCCATAGGTGTATTAGGCCCTCATATTTTGTAGGCCTCCTTTAGGCCATCCGTTCCACATTAAAGTAACAGCTGAGCGACAGCAGCACGGCCATCGGAAATCTTGTTTTCTTTGAATTACAATGACAGCATTCATGACTTTGCCACAGCTGAAGCAAAAGTAATGAGTGCAGAGTGATTTATGTTTGATGAATTTACATGGCGTCGAATAAATGTGTAAATTTTACATGGGTAAATAAATACATATGTTTGATGCCTTCATTTTCTTTTTTACAAGATGTAATACATACACGAGTGCTGGACCATTCCCTCCCATTCGCCTTAGGCCCTTTCTAACCTTTATCCAGCCCTGCCAAGCCACGTGGATTCCAGTTTCAGCAGAATACAATTTGTATCAGCGGGTCAAAATGAGGCACTTAT